GGCGAAAACACGAATGACACAAATCAGCCACCATTGTGTCGGCAGTAACGGAGTCCCATCGACCGTCTCTTTCATTTATGACAATACACATGGTGGAATAGAGAGCTACTTTTAAATTTTCTGCATTTATGAAAACAAAACCAAACCCTTTTTAAAACATCGTAGTAACATCCGTTAACTACTTAATTCATCGAACGAAGAGTATACCATTAACTTAGCTGTAAAGGTGTCATCTATCTTACATAATTGATAATTCAAAATACCACTTTGTTGCTTTTCAAATTACACTTTTTCTGTAGAAAACCCATCTATTGAGAGAATATAAGATTCAAATGTCTGAAATTTTGTTTTCTTAATTTGATTTGATCCATTCCTAAAATATCAACAGTAATAGAACTGTGACGTACTGTGACATGTATTTTTGTTTCAAATTCATTTCCCGATGGAAATTTAATAATACATTCGTGTATTAGTAGCGCTCAATTGATTTAGGACAAACTCTTTCAAATGCGTCAAAGCATCAGATAATTTAATTAAAGCTCTTAAGTGTTCGTATTTCTTTTGAAAGCCAGGGATTGAATATTAAACAGTGCATGATATAGTTGTAGCATACAATTGTGATGTAAAGATGGGTGCCAGTAGTATATAACAATCATTTTCGGAGGGTGTCTGGTACCTTGGTACCAACACATGACACTTGCGTAACGATGTTAATCGCGTCGGTATGGCATAATTTCGGTCATTAGATCATAAGGGCGTGTCAGTGAGTCAGTCTGATGAATCGGGGTCATTCAAACAGCTATGTTACTGACATCATCCTGTTAGGGGATAGGGCATCGCTTTATATGGATGGAGCAGATTGCAACAATCGAGTTACGTAAGGGATCATGTAAACGGGTGTACTGAATAAAGGACTGCCCATCAGTATTTCTATTAGGAATCTGGGTTCAACCATTGTTGAGCGCATTGTCTTATTGGTCCTTAAACGCCAGTCACAAAAAAAATTTACAGTAAAATTATATCGATAAGAGATATTAATATTACGGACACACGTTTAGTGTGTGCAATCTACCGATTGTACGTAAATTTTTAACCGACATCAATAAAGTAATTACCGATTCAGGTAGCGAACTGAAAAGTTTATAGTCTTTGCAGACGCCTGTCGAGAATTCGTTATACGTTAAAAAAACAAATACACAGTTGCTCAAGGTGTTTATCCCTCGCATCAATCTGCTTTGATAACGACGATTTTATTTATATTTATTACTTTTTATATCATACAAAGAAGTTTGATTTTTATAATATTCTTTTGGTAGTCGCAGGATCTGATCCAGCTGAAACTTATGTTTAATGAGGGTCCATGCGTGTCTAGCACAACATGTAGTCGAGTACGGACCCCGGGCATGTTACCAACCATGCCATTAAATGGTTAATTTGGTGATAATTCACCTCCATGCAATAAGATATGATTTTCTTTGGTCAAAAGTAGGTCACTGTATGGCGGTCAATGAGGACCTAAATGAAAAGTAACCTGAGAAGATAAGAAAAGCAGGTCGACTGGCGCCAAGTAAAGGGTCTGTCGTCAAGCCGTTTCTCTTTGTACAAGGAGCTCACGCACCCTATCACACTTTCAGCGTCGTCCTTCCCTTCTTTGTAGGACCACTCCCCCCTTGGCATTAGTCAGAACACCTGCAGCTGGTCCGCAGTTTAAGTTCTGGTCTTTATTTATTTTTCGCCATCCCAAGTTCTTTAAATCTGCTGCCAATATCCTGTGCGGTCTCTGGACGCTCACGCGCCGAGGGCAGGTCTTACATTTACTCAGAAAAAGTTGTTTCATATACGGATGGACCTGGTTACGCCGTGTGATTATTACGCAACACCCGTCCAGATTACACTCTGTTGACCATATATGTGTAAAATTAAAATATAAGAAATACTGGTTCTTGATTCTATGTCCCGTTTAATCAGACGTTTCAAATTGGTAATGAAAGGCGAAAGTTAAGAACCATCATTGTTTTGCATGGTAATTTGATTAGATTCTCTAATAGGTTTAACTACGTAAAGTCGACCGCAGTATTTAAAAATAGAATATCTGTTTAAAAGAGAAAGAAATGGTTTGAAGAACAGCTAAGTAGTTAAATATTTCAGGACTGATAACTAAAAACTGATCTGTATTTGAAACTGAACAATCACATGAGTTAAACGGAGAGTACCTTTGTGGAATAGTATGATAACTAACAAGAGGGCCAAGGTGGCCCTAGATCGCTTACCTGACCCATTAAACTCATCCGAACAATTACCTAGACAAGAATTCTGATCAAGTTTCATGACAGGCGAGTCAAAAATGTGACCACTGGAGTGTTAACAGGAATTATCCGTATTTGAGCAGTGTGACCTATATTTTGACCGTAGGTGATCCATATTCGAACTTGACATAGAAATCATCAAAACATACTTTCAGATAAATTTCAAGGATATTTGGAGCAACACAGTAGCCACTTTCTAGTGTTAACAAGATTTTTTTTTATTTTTAGATCCTGTGACCTAGTTTTTCATCCGAATGACCCATGTTCAAACTCATCCAAGCAATTACCTAGACAAGCATCCTGACCAAGTTTGATGGTAATTGAGTCGAACACGTGACCACTAGAGTGTTAACTAGTTTTTTTCCATATTTGCGCGGTGTGACCTAGATTTTGACACCAGATGACCCATATTCGAAATTGACATAGAAATCATAAAAACAAAATTTAAGAACAATTTCTAGGATATTTGGATCAAGACAGTATCTACTAGAGTGTTTACAAGATTTTTCTATTTTAGCTCCTGTGACCTAATTTTTATCCGAGATGACCCATGTTCGAACTCATTCGAGATATTACATAGACAAGCATCCTGACCAAGTTTGATGATGATTGAGTAAAATATGTGACCACTCGAGTGTTATCAATGTGTTTCTATTTTTAGCTTCTGTGACCTAATTTTCATTCGAAATGACCCATGTTCGATCTGATTTGAGCTATTACCTAGACAAGCATCCTGACAAAGTTTAATGATGAATGAGGCAAAAATGTGACCGCTAGAGTGTTAGCGAACAAGTGTGGGCGGACGATGGACGACGGACGACGGACATTCAACGATTCTAAAAGCTCACCCTGAGCTAGCTCAGGTGATCTTAAAAGGAATTAGTAAGATTGGTTGTAATTCTAAAACTGATTCATTTGCTCCTCATTTTCTTTTCTCTTTTCCTCAATCCAACACCAAAGTTTAAGGTATGTTCAAATGAAATGAAATTTTCGAGAACCACAATGTAAGTCAAACACTAATTATATCTCTATACTTTTAAAATATGAAAGTATGAAGTTACATTTTTCTTTAATGTTGAACTTATTTCCCTTGTTAAGCCATCACCATCCTGCCGTGGTATGACATTGCATTTTTGCAATGTTCATCATTTATTATTTAAGTTGTTTAGTTGTTTAATTTTCTATGCGCATAGAGAACCTGCTTATTTTAAAATTAGATAATTTACTGCGTTGATTTTCAAGTTAATGATTTATTGTGACAAATGCCAAGCTTATACATGTATTTCCTGTTACAGAATAGACCTGAACAGAGGTATAATTTTTAATATGTTCTTCTATCACAACACCACAATAGTGCCAAACCACTTTTGCTATTACCCCGTACATGCACCTGACGTGAATAGAAAATGCCTATTCAGTGTGCGTTATTGTAAAATGCTAAATTAATTATATTTCAAAGTTATTGAGCTCCACATCAGGGATTGGATCCATATGATTTTAATTATCACTAAATAATAACTGGAAAAATTATGATGGTATGGTTACAAGTGATAAACATGTCCAAATATTATGAACTTACATACAATAGTTTATGTACAAGCAAGTTTACATGTTTCACACTATCATATTTTCATAGTAAATTTTGTAAAGGTCTCATCAGACGAAATGGTTTAGAAGTAAATTCGTTAAACGTTATACTACTTTCGCATTTCTTGTTGTACTGGCCTCCAACAATGACAGGTGACAGATTACCAAAGTTGTACCTGATAATGAGTGTAATGTGAAATGCAATACTTTACCGATAAGTGTTTAATTTTAACAGTTAAAATGATAAAAATTAAGGCCAGGATATGTTCACATGTGTATAAGGTTTAATCAGACTGGGGCACACGCTTTTTATTACTTGGGGACCATACACCGCTTTTCATGGAATGGCACGGAAGTGTTACATTGAAGGTTCCATGATAACCGCCGTATGAACACATCTGCGGATGTTTCTAAATTCAAAATTTTACTATTTCATGTTTAAATGTTGAATTATGCTTAAGCCGGTGCTAGGGGGCGTGGGCGGTAACTTGCACTTTCCAGTACCGTCCATGAACAGGCTCAATCAAACCGAGCCTGCAACATTTTCAATTTTGCCGTGTTGGGCTTTCTTTGGGGATTCTGTATATATCTATTTTGGGGTAATGGTACTGGTTATGGTAATGCAGTTGGAATGCATTACTTTTCTTGAGAGTAATGCAATGTAATGATACTGCATGCCAATTTGCATTACTTGTACTGGTACTTGAATGCAAAATTCAGGTAATAAAGAAGGTACATTTTTATGCATTACTTTGCATTACTACATCATATATGGTATAAATGATCCAAGTAACACACGATAAAATTGTCATGGCCTTAATCAGTCAAATCAAATTCCCTACGGCTTTACCTAAACTAACAGTTTTGCAAGGAAAATCTTGATTTAGTGCACAGTAAATATTATTTAGCTAATTATAAGTCATTTTAAAGATCAGTAAAATTTCAGTTATTCCTTGCTACAATAGCTTCTTTGTGCAAAACAAAACGAGACCAGCAGTCCAGAACAAAATTATTCACTTTCAAGTAAAGAGAACGTAATAAACATGTTTGGTAACTTCAACGGTTCTAATAATGATTTGATAAAAAATAAATGAATGCCTTTTTATTCCATTCATTTGCGTAAAACCTATATTTGTGTGTTTATAAAATAACCTTTGTCTATAAAAGCAGTTAACCGCAGTTACTTGTTAAAGGAAAAGAGTCATTTCTGGAAAAAGTGTCTAACTGGTAAAAGCGTGTGTGTTTTCGCGGAAAAGCGTCTTTTCGAAATTATGCCTCTGTTCGGATATAAAATTGTTACGTTTTGTTTTAAGATGTTAACAATCATTCAAATATGTTCAGCAGAACAAAATTTCAAACATAAAGCTCGTATTAATTATAAACTCAAAGCTGAGCAGATATTAGAAGAAATCAGATCAAACAGCCTTGCTAATTGTTTGATATATTGTCGCATGCAGCAAGATTGTATTACGGCGTCATTTAAATCACCGGCAGGAAATTGTCTGTTGTCGTCGTACGATACAATTGATGACAGCGGAAGTGGACCTGGCATTCCTGGGGGATTAGTGTATGCAGAAGGATGGACTACAATGACACGGATTAGATACCCAGGTAAGATTCCAAACCATTTTCAAAGATTGGTCATTTTAAAGGAACATTAGGAGGTGCGTAAAGGGGAGCGGTGGCCTAGTGGTTAAGGTGTCTGCCTGTCAGCCCAGAGATCATGGGCTCGAGCCCTTTTCGGGCCACGACCATGTTTCTACATATGACATCCGCACTGGTTGGTTCCAGGAAGCAACTCGAAAGTGATTTATATAAGTTACAAGAACTTGTTTCGCAATCGAGCTTAAATAAATATATTTAAACCAATATGATTAAACTAAAGGAACATTATCCCTTCAGAAACAAAGACATTTTATCTTTTTAGTGACGTTTTTAAGAAACTTGTATTACGTCATTTTAGAAACCTATTATCTGAAGTAAGAAGTGCGGAATATGACGTTATTTGTCATAACAGTAACAAAATGTTAGTAGTTTTGACTTCAATACACAATACATTTCAAACGTTTATGTACTAATAGCCGCCCAAAAGCAACAGAAAAAAACATGGTTCAGATCATTGACCAGTGAGTAAGAAGTGAGTAAGATGTTGAAAATCATAACAGGACACCAACAATGATAAGCTTTTGAGAAATAATAATGAAAACGTTTCTGAGGCATAATGGAACTTAAAATATATAAAACAATAAAAATGTAAAAACAGTTTAAATTGTGACTTCATCACCAAAATTCCTCAAAACGTATATTTCTCCTTGCTGTATTCATTTCTACTCATATTCTATTTCAATGGCATTTTTATAACGTTTTTAAGCCTCAAACGAAAACCTATGTTGGCCACCATTTTGTTATATTTAAGTAAAAGTCTGGACAAAATGCGATCCTTCGGAAGCATTTATCACAACAAAATTACATGAAAATTTCAGACTCGGTTTGATTGAGTCTGTACATGAGGAATAATGAATAAGTGCAACATCCCTCACACCCCTAGTACCAGCTTAAGCGGTACTTAATTCTTAACAATTAATAGTGCTAGCATCAATAATCCCGAAAGGACCAGAAAATATAACAACACTGAAGTGAAGTACGTAGCAACATTTTACAGCTGCCACACAGCAACCAACAAAACAAGACGTTACAGCAAAGACAAAAAAAAACACGAATTAACTGATAACTGACCCACCGACCACACTTATGGTACTGATTTTTTCCGGAATTAACTAATGAATAAGAGAAAACTTACAACTGAAAACACAACAACGAACTAGCGACCTCAAACATTGTTGCGACTTCACAACTTACTTTTACATAAATCATTTTGATTATTAAATTCCGGATATTTTTTTACACATTTTGTTTTAATCGAACGATCAAATTAAAAAAACATTATATAATATGACATTTAGATATATTAAAACGCGAAAGGCATATATCTCGAGAAATACACAACAAAAAAATCATCAATATCAATTGCTATTATTCAATTTCAATGTTTACAAAATGGGCATTTTCTAACCTACAAGAAATAATTATTATGTCATTGTTGTGCAGGTATCTTTTTGTATTAAACATTTAGAAATAACATGGTTATGCATGTTAACCAATTTTAGTTCGACCCAGTATCTTTTTTTTTAAAGATACTTATTGTTTACTATTTAACCAAAGCTATTTAAGACGCGAAAAGCACTCTAGGTGCAAACAACTAAATTTTCTGTCTTTCCATTGTCACTCTGATGATGTCCATTCGCACAGTGCATATCCATATCGGTACCCTCTTGCACATGCACATGTCATTCTCTGCTAAAAACAAACCAGCGTTGGAAAACAATCCAGTTCTTTGTAATAAGGAAATGAGGTATGACACGTGGAAAGATGTATACCACGGAACACTAGAATGTTTCATTTATGTGCTGATTTGTCATGTGCCCGTTTTTAATGGATTGCAACTTCACAATAAGCTACAAAAAATCGAGATGTCTTGTCTCGGCCATCACCTCGACATATTTTCGGGCTGAAATGAACATTTGCCTTGATTATATACAGCATACATTTTTGATATATTTATTGACATATCATCTTTGGACAAATGGCAATATAACATCAAAAATAAATGAACATCCTACTTTCAGTTTTGCAGCAGCACACGCTACCTCTCTTCCTTTGAATTTTTATGTCACAGTACCCTCTCATTTTTCAACTCATAGAAAAAACTAAATTACTATAACTGTACTGACTGACAAAAGCAAAAGACTGAATCCAAATATTGATTAGGTAATAGGCCAATGAGTAACCTGTAAGGGACACCAAAGTCATCGTTCTATAACGTACATCATACGCTCACGTATATCTGAAAAGTATGAAATATTTCCTTTAACTACGATGCTTCATGTGGGTCATCGTGGTATTGTGCCGCCTTGGTAACAGCACAGTATTACAATATCATAAACGGGGAAAACGCTTGAATAATTTGATAATGAGTGCGATTCGATGATATGATAACAGCACCTGTCGTGCAATATCGTTACTAGTGCTGAATATTTATATTGCTGCAGTTTTATTGATAGAAGCTCACATTGGTTCGAATCCTGAGTTGATCGAATTATTTTATGTTAGTAAGCTACACAGCAAGCTGGCAATTGCCTGTTGTTTTGATTTTCCTGCAATACTGAAAGAGGCGCATATCAGATTTTCTTCCACTCACCTAAAAGCTGCAAGGCTAGTCTCTATATGAACTTTTGTATTTTGTGCCATTAAACATGAACACTAACAAGTTAGTTAAATGTTAAAAAATATAGTACAAAATGGCGTTCTCAGCTGCATACTCTGTAAATTAATGATACATCAGTTTAATCTGATTCGTTTACTTTGGCCTTTACATGCAGTATAATTCCATGAATGCTTGATTGATGAGTTTTAAGAAGATTCTTGCCACTGACCAGTTCTAAGATTAAGCATCATAAGTTTACAGTTGTTTTCTTTTATTTTATTTATTCACATTTGTGAATAACAGAACTCCGTACCATTACACTATAGTAAATATACGTACATAAAAGAAATACAAGGTTAGCTTTTAAAAAAGCTAGTAGCGACTCGCTTCGTAATTTTTCTCCAGGGGTATGTTTAAATGTAAAAAAAATGTAAATAAGACTTAAACATATTTTCCCTAAGCATTTTAATAAAAATTATGTCCACTTCATCTTGGTATGTAAAACATTTTAAACAAATGGATATGATGTAGATATATGAACAAAATTTTAAAGTGGTCAACAAGGCAATACGTACCACATGCCAAATATTTAAGGTTTAGGCATTAATAAGGTATAAACGTGTGCGTATGTGTTTCTATATAAGACGTGTCCTTGACCTATGTGTAGAAATATATGAACAACTATGAAAGAGGACTTCTTTAGTGTGGTTAATGTGCAGTCTTTGGTTTCATAGATATCATTTAAAGAGAAACTAAATTACACATTAGGGACAACAGATGAATAGGGATCCCAATTCCTGTTTATGCTCACCAGAGCACAACTTGCTCATAGTGAGCATAAAAGGGAATTATATTGTAAGAGGGCTTGGTATAATGATTATCTCCTGTACAAAGATTCAACGACAATAATCAACACAAATATAGTTTATTCCTTTTCCCTATATATCTAATACTATCCCGGATCCCGGGCGTCCCGGATCCCGGGATTTTCCCCCACCCTAAATACCGGAAAGGATAAAATGACCGGAAAAAAAGAAAAAGAAAAAAATGCACAGAACCAGATGAACACTTATATTAATTAACCAAACGAAAACTTACTACAGAGAAAACAGGTGAAATCGCTAAATAAAAAATCAGTGTAAATATGATTTATTGAAAAGAATTCATGAAAACAAGCATTTTAATCATCATTATATCTTTGCGCTCAAAGCAATACTTGCTGCTTTTGAAATATGGCGTGAAAATTGAAGGTTTTTTGACGCTATGTAAGATTAAATTTGATTGGCTAAATAATTTTGGATTCCGGCCCTGACAGATAAATTTTGTAGAAAGCTGGGAGCCATGCTTCGATTAAATTTTTGGATGAATTCGGAGTTTTAGGTAAAATCCTAACGTAATACCGGCTCGCCGTGGCGAGCCGGCATTACATACTAAACGGTTAACGCAAATAAAAGCATATGTCGTGCTTTGAGGGTACCTATGTGTTAAAAATGAGAGGGTACCTGTGATATGAAAATTCAAAAGAAGAGAAGTAGCCCGTGCCGCTGCAAAACCGAAAGTAGGACGTTCGAAAAATATGTCGAGGTGATGGCCGAGGCAAGACATGTCGATTTTTTGTAGCTTATTGTGAAGTTGCATTACATGAAAAACGGGCACATGACAAATCAGCACATAAATAAAACATTCTAGTGATCCGTGGTATACATCTTTTCAACGTGTCATACCTCCTTTCCTTGTTACAATGAAATTTTACTGGATTGTTATCCATCGCTGGTTTGCTTTTAGCAGAGAATGACCTGTGCATGTGCAAGAGGGTACCGTTTGAGCAAAGAGGGTACCGATATGGATATATACAGTGATTCAAGAAGAACATCGAGAAATAAGGGATGGAATCGAGACAAAAAGGCGGCCATTTTAAAATAAACCACGTGCCCAGACTGTATAAGTACTGTTACCTATGGAACAGTACAAATTTCTTGGTCACGTGGAACACTTGCATTTATAGCATGATTAACTCCCAGTGGCCTATGGGAAATTAAAATTACAAAAAAGAGAGTGGTTATTAAGTATAAATGTTTAAGTAAAAATATAAACGCTTTGAACAATGAAAGATGATTCCTTTTTTATGTTGACAGTCCTTAATTGACTTAATTATTAATTGCTCGGCTAAACGTTTTCAGGCATGATACAGTATATGATTCAAAATACCGATTTTATCTATATATTTTATATTCAGTTTTTCACGCCGTTGGACAGTACTCAATTTACAGCATGACGTTTGAACAAGCTCAACAACAATGTGTTGACTATGGAACAACAATGGCGACTCCATCTGACCTTCTGCAAGCACGATCCTTGGGGTACCAGGCATGTGTCGTAGGCTGGCTGTCTGATGGAACCAATGGCTATGTTATGCAGTATCCTGTACAAGGATGCTTATTCAGTGAATCCATTATAATTTACAATAGCCCTCTCGCTAATGTTTACTGTAAATTGAATTAATGAATTCTTTAAGTCGTGTTATGACTTGTAACTATTATTTATTTCATTGTGTCTAGCAGACATTGGAATTATATTTTCACACTTTTACAGTGAAAGTATAAATTTAAATTAGATTTTTAATTTTCACAGAAGTCGGGCTATATTTGAAAGCTTTAGAACGGCAAAAACCATAAAGACACGGAAAGATCGTGAGACACGCACAAACTTATTTACACATATCAAGTTTTAAAATGAAACATTACAGAAGTGTAACCTGTGTATCGTTTTCTGTTTATCACTGGAATATTGTATCCTCCGTGTTATGTTGTATTTGGTTGGTATTTGCATAACTGTGTCGTCGTTTGTTTGCCAAACTGTGGTAATGTTATTGTATAGTCTGTTTTGTAAGAGAGGTCACTGTAAGTTGAAAGGTTGTATGAATATGTTCACTAATATTTCACGTGCATGAGTCTAAAATCCCCGCGAAACATCTTCTTGCTTAAATAAAATATTTCCCTTTGCCAGTTCCACATAGTACGAGTAAATGATAACATACTTTACAGTATAGTTGTACTATTTGTTGTTACTTAATAGTAAACTTGAACATTGTTTATTGTTAAAAAATTCTTGTATGCTGATCCTGGCTCGTTTTGTGTATGTCGAACAATAAAAAGATTAAATAAAAGCAAGTCTTCAATCTTTTATCTCCGGTTACAGAAGTATAACAGGGATTGCACCATATGATCTCCTGATTTGATGACTCCAAGAAGGATATTCCTTTTTCTTTGTGTATAGTTACAAAAATGGAGCAGTCAAAACGTATTTTTCTGCATTGTTTTACAGGTTGGGGTGGAGCGGAACAAATAATATATCTATATGATACCAGAACAGCGAATAATTTTATTCTCAAATGATATTTCTTGAAGAACGGTGTACTAAAAAGATAATATGAAACAATATTTATTTATTTTGCATTGTTTTTAGAAATTTTATCATGGCCTCTCTTTACTGTGTTTCCGCGAGGGCGCTTGTTATTTTTTTTAAATTATGGAAAAGCAATGAAAAAATTTCAGGTCGATCTGTCTCATGTCAAAAGAAGATTTTAAACAAAAAAAGTAATAAAATCAAATGTCTCGAGAGTTTAGAAAACACATAAGAACTGTCACACCGATACTGCACTTATTGTTGATTTATTTCATGTTTTGTCCGTTGGATGTAGTTCTTCTGATTATGAAAAGTTGAACAGCTTTATATATTTAATAATTGCTATTTAAGACAAACAGAAAATATAACATTTTTATGAGCCCATCTCCAACTTGTTTTCATATGCTCAAAACATATCATATAATGTAAATATATGTCTGGAATCAAAATTTGGCATTCGTAACATTATGTCAATCCATCTATTCTATCTATATATGAGAATGATTGTCACTATTTTGATGTGTAAGCACTATATCACGACTGTGTTTTTTTTGTAATATTTTAATAATCTATGTTTATGTTGTTGTTTTTTATTGTAAACAATGTAAAATGTTTCCTGTCATAGAAAAAAAAAACACAGAAAAAAAAAAGAATCCAAACACATACAATGTACTTTATAAATAATGAAAACAACAGGTACAATGTTGACACCCCTGTTATTTGAACATAGTTTCGCCTGTTTAGATCTTACATTTTGTATTTGGGAGAATTGCATGGTTCCGATAAAGTCGTGGAAGCATGTCACTTCTTGTTGGGTTTTTCATTGACTGGTGAAATAATTGAAATTGGTTAACGCCTATCTTTTTTGATTGGCAGATAGAGCAAAAGGGTTCAATTGACAGATGAAGGGGAAAATGACCCAGTGACTTAGTAGATGACTTTTCTTGTGTTCTTTTGCCATTTTTATCATTTCAAATGCGACACTATATGTGAAAGACGACTTTTAAGTGTAACACAAATTTATTTTTATTTTTACTTGAAATGCTTCAAACGGCGTTTTTTGTATTTAATATATCATAAGACTTGTAAACATCCATATGTTTACTAAATTTATAATTTTTAGAGAAACTAATCATTTCGATTTTACAATAACATTTAAAATGGTCCGACTTGTCGTCTGCACTGTGTGTGTGAACCGGGGAAAAATATGTAAACTTGTATCATCTGGGTGGATATCTAAATGAGACATCATTAACAAACTTGATATCCAATCCTGTTTTCACGGGGGAGGAACTGTTACACGAAGGATGGAGTTCTTATGATAACTTGTTCAGGAGTTATTGTGATAACTGTCACGGAGTTCGTCGGAAAACATCTGTATATACTACAAAACCACTCGTCAAAAATGGTTATTTTCATCTTTCAAAAATGAATTTTAGGTGCTAAATTAAAATTAAATGATTAGGCTTCTCTTACATCTTGTATTATGTGTCAACAACTAATTCATAGGCCATTTTTCATCGCCTCTTGCTTAAAATCTGTTAGTTTTGAGTAAAATTTCCAAATTATTATTAAAGTATTGACCTGTTTATTTCTGGTCTTCATCCTTGTCATACATAATTACCTAATTATAATGCAAAATTGTAAACATAAAGCACAGGCTAACTTTTGGCGTTTTTATTATTCAATAAGATTGTAAATCATTATGAAATGTAGAACGATCATCCTTTGCACAAAAATGTGGATAAAACGTTGGTCTTAAGTGTCTGCAAAGGATAAATAGGTGATGGGCTATCATCTACAGAAAAAAAATAAACCAGCGGTCACTGATATTCAGCAGTATCATTGCTTAAACCACAAAACAAAAATGTCTCAAAACGTACACGTTATTCTCAGTTTCTCAGTTTTAAGCAACCACTTTTCTTAAGCAGACAATATATAAGTATGCTTCCCTTACCTAAGGGCTAAGTAATTTGTATCATTTTATACCATAATAAATAAGTATATAACCAGGATAATTTCCACACCCATGTTTCAAAAAAGTACGATACAGGATAAAACTCAACCTGCGGTTGGCCCTAACTACCGATCTACAATGTTAATGAAAACTAAAATACATCTGGTACATAATTTTCTATGACCTTCCAAAGAAGAAAACAAGTAATTAATAATCACAATTATAACAAGGAAAGTAATTTAAAAAAGTGGAACATTTGGAACAAGTGGATATTCATCAATCTATTGGTTGAATCAACATATTGGTAGTTATTTTACGAAACATTCTACGGCCGACAGTACGACGAAACACATGATTAAAGGCACAGTATGCATCAGAAACAAATCATTTTTTAATTCTTAAGAAAGGGCAAACATGTATTTTATAATGTTTAAATCATGGTTTCAAAGAACGTTAGAGGATTATTAGTTACAAAAGTAGCGAAAAATATGAAATTATGTGTCATAAAAATAGCAAAATATAAAGAGTGTAGTATTTTGACTTCCATACAAAATCCTAATTCATTATTACTGTACTTACTGCTAAAGAGCAAAAACGAAAAAGATGGCCCAGGTAATTGGCCAATGAGTAACGTTTTGGATATTATAAAAGTACAACAAAATTGCAAAGCTTTTGAGAAATAAAAGTAAAAGCTATCCTGAGGCATAATAGACCTTTAATATAAATGATAAAAATATCCATCAGAAAGCTTTTATACGTATTTATATTTGAAGGACTGTAGTGACGGACATGGTTTTACCGGAGGGGACTTTAGGTTTACCATCCGTCCGTCTGTCTGTCTGTCTGTCTGTCTGTCCGTCTGTCCGTCTGTCTGTCTGTCAGTCCGTCAGTCCGTCCGTCCACAAAACTGGATCCCGCGATTACTTGAAAAGTACTGAAAATATTTTTATGAAACTTGATATATGGATAGATGGCAGTATGGAGATTATGCACGTCTTTTTCTTTTCTTCCTATGTTGAAAATTCTGGTTGCTATGGCAACAAATAGGCTTAAAATATGGCAAATTTTACACATAAACTGGATCCAGTGATAACACAAAAAGTACTGGAAATATTTTTTATGAAACTTGAAAATATGGGTAGACGGCAGTCTGGAGATTATGCACGTCTTTTTCTTTCTTCCTATGTTGAAAATTCTGGTTGCTATGGCAAACAAATAGACTGAAAATATGCCAAATTTTTACACATAAACTGGATCCTGTGTTAACGCAAAAAGTAATAAAATATTTTTATGAAACTTGTAATATGGGTAGATGGCAGTCTGGAGATTATGCACGTTTTTTTCTTTTCTTCCTATGCTGAAAATTCTGGTTGCTATGGCAACACATAGACTGAAAATATGGCAAATTTAACACTTATACTGAATCCAGTGATAACTCAAAAAGTACTGGAAATATTTTTATGAAACTTGATATATGGGTAGATGGCAGTCTTGAGATTATGCATGTCTTATCTGTTCTCCCTATTTTGAAAAAATATTGGTTGCCTTGGCAACAAATAGGCTTAAAATATGGCAAATATAACATTGTTTGTGATAAGTCAAAAAGAGCTGAATTTTTTTTATGAAATTGCATCTTTAATTCAAGAGTTATCTCCTCTTTAAGCATTTTGCTTTTAAAAATGTTATATTTTGGTAACAGGGAATTGTTTCAAATATTAACTTTAGAGTGTCCTTCAGTCCGTCTGTCTGTCTGTTCATAAAAACTGTTTCCTGTGATCACTTTAAAAGAACTTTTCCAACAAATTTACTTAAAATATAGAAAAATTGAAACATTAGTGAATGGCCATTGGCCCTTCAGAATGTTGATGGGGTTCTAACCGGTAGGGGACTTATGGATTGCTTGCAATACTATGATAATTGCTTGTTCTATACGGAATATTATTCCATATTTTCGTTTTGTATTGCGATACTGTATCTTTAAAATAGCTTATATATACGCTGTTGTTTATGTTCGTCTATACTCAGTTTTGTCGTATACAGAGTATCGATCAAATTAAAAGTTCTTTTATTCAATTTTATATTTAATTTGCTTATTGTCTTTGTTACGATGTAATTTGTCATGTAGAAAAATTGTTGAAAATAAATAAAGAGGGTGGATGGATCAGGTAAAGATACTTGCATACTGCTATGCCAATTTACAAAAATATTGCTTTTTTGTGACCCAAACATTTAGTGCTTTGAATAAAAGCATCAATAAAAGACAAACGCATAATTAAACGTTTTATATATGTGTATTGAACTAACATTTGTAACACGTTTTCAATACAATAAAAATATTGTCGATTTTCATTGAAGAGTCAACAAAGTCATGCAGTAAAATATTACATTTTGAATATTTTTTATTATTCTTTGTTGTATATCTATGGTGGTAGTAATAAAATATTTACCGCATTTGTGTCTTCTGTTTTATTAGAGCACTGGTCTGTTGTATATGTTAAGCAATTGATACATTTCTAACTTGTATTTTCCTTGTTGTCTTTTCAAATCCCGCCACTATCGGATTTGTAAAAGGATACACATTTTCAACTTTTATTTACGAGAAAAAAAAGCTGTTTTGATGAAAATGAACGATCAAGTTCTAAAAAATACCGCTTGATTACTACTTGTACGTACTGAAATGTCGATAGTACATTGTTATATGAAAAGGTTATTCTTCCATCTCGCGTTTTATTTAGTGAAGACAAAGGTGTACGATCTTCCATAATCCCTATAGAATCCCTAAAGATAGCACAAAAAGACACAATTGAAAATGTTGCAGGTTGCTGGACGATACTCGAAAGTGAAAGTTACCGTCCACGACGCCTAGTACCGCCTTTAACAGTATTCAACATTTAAACATGGCAATGGTGAAATTTGAATTCAGAAACATAAGCAGATTTGTTCATACGGCGATTATCATGAAACCTATAATGAGACACGTGAGTTCCATTCCTTGAAAGCGGCACATGGTCCCCTTGTAAAAGAATGCGTGTGCCCTTAACGAGAAAACAATAGACAAAACTAAATAAATGGAATGTTAATAGGGGATCGGGTATTATGAAGCTTGCATGTCACAGATAAGCTGCCACAAGACCTATTTAAAAAGCGAACCACACATCATGATGTTGATTATACAGTTTTCAAGTAAAAAATAATGGAAGAACCCAAGTAGAAAGAGATAAATAGAACGAACTAAATGTACCACAAACACAACATTAATGTCGTGTTGGACGATCTTTTCAACGTTCTGAAATGCAAATTCTCTGATACACACTTAGTATTTATATTTTTAATCGGCTTTGTTATTATAGCTATAAATTATCTCTGTTAATCTGAGTTAATTATTGTGTCGTACATTTCACATTATACTTATCCAAGAG